AAGCAGGCCCTCACCCAGGTGGCCAACTCAAGAGCCCATAGACATGGCTGCAGACAAAACATGGTACACTAAGCTTGGTCTTATTAAGGATGCTGAAGCAGTTCTGCAACCTGTCTCAAACTCCTCTCAGCTAGAGTACACAAGTGGTCCTTCCTATCAAGAGACTGCCAGGAGACACACCCAGCCATGGCCCTGGAGGCAGGCCTACAGATCTTGGCCTTAGCTATGGTCCCTGCAGCAGCCATGTGACTCAGTTCTAGCCCTCACAGTCACAGTCCATGGCCAGTTGTACATACTCACGGACTCAGAGAGACCTGTGAAAACTGTTCCCCAGTAGTCAGTAGAAGCCAAACCCATTCATACACCTGGTACTTGGCCTATCATATGCAGACAAACTTCAAAACCCTACCTTACTGCCTGCCATACAGATAATGTCCTCAAGGAAATTTTTTTTTTTTTTTTTTTTTTTTTTTGAGACGGAGTCTCGCTCTGTCGCCCAGGCTGGAGTGCAGTGGCGCAATCTCGGCTCACTGCAAGCTCTGCCTCCCGGGTTCACGTCATTCTCCTGCCTCAGCCTCCCGAGTAGCTGGGACTACAGGCGCCCACCACTGCGCCCGGCTAATTTTTTCTATTTTTAGTAGAGACGGAGTTTCACCATGGTCTCGATCTCCTGACCTTGTGATCCGCCCACCTCGGCCTCCCAAAGTGCTGGGATTACAGGCGTGAGCCACCGCGCCCGGCCACCTCAAGGAAATTTAATCTTTCCAGGGCCTAGAAAGAATCCATGACTGTCCAAATCTCTGGTAACACAACCATCAAAAGCAGAGGTAATCTCATCAGCATGAGGACAGAACAAAAGGAGTTCTTTACCTGCCAAATTGTAATCATTGTTAGATCCTTCAAATGTACAGACACAGGGCTGCTTCAGAGACCACAGCTGAGGCCAAGATCTGCAGGCCTGCTCCAGGGCCACAACTTCTATCTTAGCATATTACTAAAAACTTGTATGAGAACAATTAGGCAAGGAAAAGGATTGAACAAAGCTCTCCAGCTTTGGAAAAGAAATAAAAACATTACTGCTGTTTGGAGATTATATAATCATGCCTATATATGTGTGTATATATATACATATAACTCTAGAGTAAATAAACAAAAACTCAATAAATGTATTCATTAAAGCATCAGGATACATAATCTTGTGAAAGGAAAATAAATCTTGGAACTCTTAGGGCCCCCAAAATCACTAAGCTAAACCGTCAAGCTGGGAACTCCCTAGGGCAAACCTGCCTCCCATTCTATTCAAAGTCATCCCTCTGCTCACTGAGATAAATGGACATCTGATTGCCTCCTTTGGACAGGCAAATCAGAAACTCAAAAGAATACAGCAGTCTCTCTCTCATGTACTGTGACCTAGAAACCCCATCCCTTGCTTGAGTTGTCCTGCCTTTCAGGATGGAACCAATGTACATCTTATATAGATGGACTTATGTCTCATGTCTCCTTAAAATGTATAAAACCAAGCTGTGCCCAAACCACCTTGGGTACATGTCATCAAGACTTCCTAAGGCTGTGTCAGGGGCATGTGTCCTCAACCTTGACAAAATAAACTTTTTTTCTTTCTTTTTCTTTTCCTTTTTTTTCTGACACAGAGTCTTGTTCTGTCGCCAGGCTGGAGTGCAGTGGTGCAATCTCAGTTCACTGTAATTTCCACCTCCTGGGATCAAGCGATTCTCCTGCCTCAGCCTCCCAAGTAGCTGGGACTACAGGTGCGTGCCACCACGCCCCGCTATTTTTTGTATTTTTAGTAGAGACGGGGTTTCACCATGTTAGCCAGGATGGTCTCGATCTCCTGACCTCGTGATCCGCCCGCCTCGGCCTCCCAAAGTCCTGGGATTACGGTCATGAGCCACCGTGCCTGGCCAGCAAAATAAACTTTCCACATTAACTGAGACCCGTCTCAGATTTTTGGAGTTAATACTCTGTTGCCCAGGTTCATCTTAAACTCCTATGCTCAAGTGATCCACCAGCCTTGGCCTCTGAAAGTACTGGGATTACAGAAATGAGTCACTGGACCTGGCCCAACATAAAAATATTTGTTGCATTTCCAAATAGTAACAACAAACCTTCCAAAAAAAAGGAAGAAACAATTTTCATTTGCAATAGTATAAATATAAAAAATGTAATCAAAGTAAATTTAACCAATGAAATATGTATACACTAAATACAATAAGATATTAATGACAGAAATTGCAGTAGACACAAATAAATAGAAACCTATTTCATTAGAATAACTAATATTGTCAAAGTACCATATTATCATAAGTTATCTATATTCAATGTGAAAATTTTAGTGTCATTTTTCACAGTAATAGAAAACACAATTGTAAAACTTAAGTATAATCTTAAACAACTTTAACATTGATTGGCTGGGCACCGTGGCTCACACCTGTAATCCCAGCACTTTGGGAGGCCGAGGTGGGTGGATCATGAGGTCAGATAGAGACCATCCTGGCTAACATGGTGAAACCCTGTCTCTACTAAAAATATAAAAACAAAATTAGCCGGGCATGGTGGCGAGTGCCTGTAGTCCCAGCTACTCGGGAGGCTGAGGCAGGAGAATGGGGTGAACCCGAGATGCGGAGCTTGCAGTGAGTGGATATCACGCCACTGCACTCCAGCCTGGGTGACAGTGAGGCTCCCCGTCTCAAAAACAAAACAAAACAAACAAAAAAAACTTTAACATTGATTGATGGTGATTGTTAGTGCCTGAGGGTGGAAAATAAGGAGATGTTCAAAGAATATCAATTTTTAGTTATAAGTTGAGTAACTCTGAAAAATCTAAAGTACATTAGCATTAGATCAGCAAAATAGCATTGTTTATAGTTAGTAACACTGTAATGTATGCTTACAATTTGCTACAACAGTAGACTTTAAGTGTTCTTACTACAAAAAAATTGGTTATCTACCTGAGGTAATAGATGTGTTCATCAACTTGACTATATTTTATTTTACAACGTATATACATATCAAATCATTACACTGTACACATTAAGTTATACAATTTTTATTTATCAGAAAAATCCAGGTCGCATAGAGATGTACAGTAAGCCCTCACTTTATGTTCAAAATAGGTTCTTGAAAACTGCATCTTTAAATGAACAATGTTGCTATATGTCATGTAAACATATCTCTTGTATTAATTAAACTCTGGTAAAATTAGTTTTCTTAATATGTTGCCTTGCTTACTGTTTCCAAGAACCTATCAGCAAAGTTAAGTAAGAATTTATTATACACATATAAAACTTACATAGGTGTTTGTGTGTGTGAAACACACATTTTTATATATAGATAGATCTCAATAACAGTATTTCAGTAGGCTTCCTACTAAATAAGACAAAATTAAAAGATAATAGTTATTAAGAAATAATGTAACAATTGAGAGTTTAATATACACTTAGCAATGTTCTAAGCTGGTTAATGACACAGCGCATTTAAGAAATTCAGTGCTGGCCAACCCTTTGAATGTGAGGACATTTTTACTTATCTGTGGTGGTGGATATCACAAAAATTATTTGCAAACCTTTTTTTTTTTTTTTTTTTAAATGAGAATCAGCTATTATTGGTGTGAGCATAATTTTTATTATTTTTTTTATTTTTATTTGTTTTTAGACGGAGTGTTGCTCTGTTGCCCAGGCTGGAGTGCCTGTGGCACGATCTCAGCTCACTGCAACTTCCACCTCCTGGGGTCAAACAATTCTCCTACCTTAGCCTCCCAAGTAGCTGGGATTACAGGCATGCACCACCATGCCCAGCTAATTTTTGTATTTTTAGTAGAGATGGGGTTTCACCATGCTTGCCAGGCTGGTCTCTAACTCCTGACCTCATGATCTGCCTGCCTCGGTCTCCCAAAGTGCTGGGATTACAGGTGTGAGCCACCATGCCTGGCCATGTTACTGTATTTTATGTGTGGCCGAGACAATTTTTCTTCCAATGTGGTGGTCCAAGGAAGCCAAAGGTTGGAAACCCATGCTTTAAATAATTTGAAAACTTGCAAAAGTAGAGTTTAAATTACAAATCTCAGTTTATATTAAAACAATAACATTTTGAAGTAAAATAAAATTACATTTTTTCATATTTAGGAAAATGCTTATTGTTCTGATAAAATTGCTGAGTAAGAATTTTTTTGTAGAATTACATTTGCAACCTCTATAGGATTAAAAATCACCAAGCAGAAAAGATGCAACATCTGTCCCTGGTGTTCCTGGGATTTCTGAACCAAATCCCAATATGTCCACTACTCACCTTACACATTTTAGACATGATGCAAAAACAGTATTTGGAAAAAAACAAAAAACAAAAAAACTTTAACATAGAGCTCTTCAATCATATAAATATTCCCAGGTCCCCAAAAGCAATGAACAGCAGTCAGACCATGCACCCCTTTGTAAGTGATAAAGTGGACACTGGCTCTCCCTGTAAACTTGAAGGGAGATACGAAAGAAAAAACAGAACTCTTGGATTTAAGAGCATGGGACATAAGATGACCCTATGAGAAAAAATGCAGCCTTTTTGGAAATTATTTTGTCACAGAGCTTCCCAAACAACATTTATTTACTTATTTATTTTTTGCAATAGAGTCTAGCTCGATACTGCCCAGGCTGGAGTGCAGTGGCATGATCTCAGCTGAGCATAACCTCTGCCTCCTGGGTTTTTAAGCAATTCTCTCTGCCTCAGCATCCTGAGTAGCTGGGATTACAGGCACAAGCCACCACACCCAGCTAATTTTTGTATTTTTAGCAGAGACAGGGTTTCACTATATTGGTTAGGCTGGTCTTGAACTCCTGATCTCAGATGATCCACCTGCCTCGGCCTCCCAAAGTGCTGGGATTACAGGCGTGAGCCACAGGGCTCAGCCTCCCAAACTACATTTTAAGGCCTGGCTTCCTTCTTGACTTTTGGCCTCCTTGCCTGTGTCCTCTCCTCCATTCACTCTCACCTACCTGAGGGTCTGGCTGCTGTCTGATGTATCTTGAAATTGTAGAGCTCTTTTCTTTGCTCCAGACAGGTGACCAGGTCTGGGTTAGAGATAGTAACACCTGTTTTATTTTTAAAAAATTAACATGACTACTGCTGGGGATACTCCAATTACCAACCTAGCACTATGCTAAGTAGAATAGAGAAATTAGGGAAGATTCTAGAAAATTAATCCAAAAATTGTTTTCTGACAGAATCTTTAGAATATTTAAGTATTTTAAATCTGTGGGCTTTAAGTTCCACTACCAAGTACTACTGAATCAAAAATAAGTAGTGCAAATTGCATGTTAAGATGTGAAAGACAATTATTTTATATCATTAATTTATAGAATTACCACTAGCCTAGAGTGAAGGAAACAAATTAGCTCAAAAGAAGGTTTACATAAAGATGAAACATCCTAAAGATTTTATTTTTTATACCACCGAACTCCCAAACTTTTCATGAAGGAACTGAAATTAATTCATGCAAAGCAAAAGCTCCTAAGAGATGTTATACAAGGAAAGAAAATGAAATTCTGAAAAAGTATTAGGAATTACATATTAAAGTTATCCTCACCCAGGGAGACCAAGTTTCTGTAGTTCTCCAACATCACATCTCTATATAAATTCTGCTGAGAAGGGTCCAGACATTTCCACTCTTCTGGAGAGAATTCTATGGCCATATCCCTGAATGTTAAGAGCTCCTGAAAATACATATTTATCAAGTGACAGAATTCTTCTTCTTTTTTTTTAATATGGAGTCCTGCTCTGTTGCCCAGGCTGGAGTGCAGTGGCGCGGTCTCGGCTCACTGCAACCTTCGCCTCTCAGGCTCAAGTGATTCTCCTGCCTCAGCCTCCTTACTAGCTGGGATTACAGGCACCCACCACCATGCCCGGCTAATTTTTGTATTTTTGTTAGAGACAGGGTTTCACCATGTTGGCCAGGCTGGTCTCCAACTTCTGACCTCAGGTGATTCGCCTGCCTCAGCCTCCCAAAGTGCTGGGATTACAGGCATGAGCCACCGCACCCGGCTGTGAGGCCTTAATTTGACTACAGGTGAAATGAGTTAAGAGAACTAGTTCTGACTTACAAGACTGAATGGAGTTATCTGATAAAATAACTTTCAACACAGTAATGTTCTCTAAATTATTCTATAACTCTGAGGAAAAAGGAGGGCATGCCAGCAATTTCTGTTGCTGCAGTGGAAATATGGGCTACACTGACATGCCCTACCAAAACCAAGCAGAGCAGGCCCTGTGATTTCCTAGAACAAAGGGTGAACTGACTTCTCATTAAAGTATCTGGAAGTCCTCATGCTTGACCCTGGCCTTGTGGTAGAATCATGTGAGGAATTCAATTTAAAAACCAGGAATTCTTTTTTGAGACGGAGTCTTGCTCTGTCGCCCAGGCTGGAATGCAGTGGCATAATCTCGGCTCACTGCAAGTTCTGCCTCCCAGGTTCACGCCATTCTCCTACCTCAGCCTCCTGAATAGCTGGGACCACAGGTGCCTGCCACCATGCCTGGCTAATTTTTTTTGTATTTTTAGTAGAGATGGGGTTTCACTGTGTTAGCCAGGGTAGTCTTAATCTCCTGACCTCGTGATCCGCCCGCCTCGGCCTCCCAAAGTGCTGATATTACAGGCATGAGCCACAGCGCCTGGCAAAAAACAGAAATTTTTCCACCTAGTAAAACAGACAGGATCTGTGGGGAGGGCACAGGTTATGGTTTCTCTTCAGACTGTCCACGTGATTCTACAGCAAGACTGGGCTGAGAGTCACTCGGCCAAGCATTGCCTCTAAGGTTCAATGTGCATATAAATTATTTGGTATTCAAAACCTCACTGTAAGTAACAAAATTCTGCAGGTTTGAAAAGGGTCCATGAATTAGCTTCTTATTGCAAGTCTCCTGTTATTGCAAGTCTTCTTATTGCTGACGCTTCTGCTCCTAGACCCATTATACCACTCAGCTAGAAAAAGCAATCACAGCATGAGTCCCTTACTGCAACACCCTTATCATAACACAAATACTTTACATCCGAAGACAGGACCACCAATCATCATCTTGAAATATGGCATTCTCTGCAGGCCCTTTAATGTTTACAGAGGCGGAAGATGGTGGCAAGTCTGAGTAAGTCTGCATTTGAAAAATGTGTATATGCATTAATGCAATCTTTATGGAGCATGTAGTATGTGCTCAGAAGTATGTCACAGAGCAGTGTGCTGGGAAGTTCACATTACGTGTGTTAATACTATAACATCCTGAAAAGTAGTCCTATACTTCCCAGGATTTAAATGCAGGGCCCCAGCATTTCTATTTCCTCTTCTGTTTACTTATTGGTTTTGTTTTTTTGTTTTTTAAATGCGTAAAATAATAGCTCAATATAGATAGATGGGACATATACAGAAAGAAAGAGTTAAGTGCAATTCAGAGGAATTTTTTTTGTGTGTGTTTGTAGTTACTTTGAAACTTGTGAAAAAACCACTGAAACTGTAGAGATGGGGAACAGGTTGCTGGATAGGATGTCTCTAGAAACACTAATTTTAATTTTATAAAAAACAATTTAAGGCACAAAAGTATATCGCTTTTCCCCATTTATCTGCTTTTGGGTTTCAGGAAATTGTGAGCACCAGCTCCGGAGAGGCAGTAGGGTTAGCCACCCCAAACTCTGATCTTCTCTAAGCAGTTCTGTGAGAGATTTCAGTGTGGGGTCAGACCTGGAAAAGGTTCAGCAGAGGGTGGATCTGGACAGAGATGGGACAGAAGGTGGGCCCTAGGCATCTGCTCTCTATGCCTGTAAGTATTTTCAGTTTTGTCTTTTCTAAGCCTGCCGAAGAGAAATTTGATTCCCAGAGTTTCTGTATCTTTTTTTTTTTTTTTTTTTTTTTGAGACGGAGTCTCGCTCTGTCGCGTAGGCTGGAGTGCAGTGGCCGGATCTCAGCTCACTGCAAGCTCCGCCTCCCGGGTTTACGCCATTCTCCTGCCTCAGCCTCCCGAGTAGCTGTGATTACAGGCGCCCGCCACCTCGCCCAGCTAGTTTTTTTGTACTTTTTAGTAGAGACGGGGTTTCACCGTGTTCGCCAGGATGGTCTTGATCTCCTGACCTCGTGATCCGCCCGTCTCGGCCTCCCAAAGTGCTGGGATTACAGGCTTGAGCCACCGCACCCCGCCGAGTTTCTGTATCTTAATCTATTTTAGCTAATTCCCTATTTTATAACACACAATAGCAAGGAATTCAACCAAAACCCTTATGTTTTTCTAGACCAATTATATTAGAAGCTAATTATTTATTCTTAGCAAGGTAAAAACAATACAAATAGTAATAACAACAATTTCTCTTCTGCCAATGAACAGCTGATCAGGTGGTGGCATCAAAACTCACAAAACAATAAAAGGGAAGTAACCCAAATGAAGCTTAAGTCTCCTGTACAGTGTCCATCTTTGTACTGAACACACGATGCTGAATTCAACCGTTTATTCATGTGCTCCAGACTGCAAGTTCCTTGATAGTAGGGACCATGACTGCTTTATGTCTTTTTCTAATGACCATATGAAATAGAAGCAATTAGGTTATTGATCAGTTTGGGTCTCCAGATCTCCTCATTTTTCACCAAAGAACCAGAAAACTGGAGCAATTCTTATCTGGGTAAAAACCAAGGAGATTCTTTCTGTGAGGGGAGGCACAAACCCTGGATGAGTCACTTAATCTTTCTCTGAAATGGGAGCAGAATTAGACCTTCTTGTCAGACTGACCCCAGTCTGCACAGGACATCCTCAAATGTCTCATTACTCAAAGATGCTGGTGAGAGTGTCCCCAGTGACCTTTGGTTGATGCCCCCGTAGTGATCCATGGAGGAGACACTCAGGCTGACTTTGTGGGGTGCAAATAGAAAATGGAGCTGTCCTGGTGGACCTGCATATCTTGGCTCCAGATGTGATATCCCCCTGTCCCTGATCAGCTAACTCTGAGGTAAGGAAAAGGACAAAAGTACTCTACTCCCATAACACAGTATACAGGAGGAAGGCATACTTGTGATTATGGTTGTCATTAAGGCTCTGGATATTTTGTGACCTTACCTCCCACTGCTAAGATGCTTGTTACACTTACAGATTCTGCCACAGGATTTTGTTCCCATCAGAAGCCTCTCACACAGCTGTAGCAGGTCACTGAATAAGATCTGGAAAACTCAAAGGGCTCCACTCTAAAAATGGGGCTTAAGATGTCTATGTTGGCCTCTCATGATGCAGAAAATGTCTTCTGTGAGTTTTTCGTATGTCTTCAACCCAAAGTCTGGTCCAGTGTTGGGAATCCTAGGCAGAGGCCAACTTTTATATGCAGATTCTAGGTGGGATCAATGTGCCTCTGCATTCTTAGGGATTAGAGCAAGCACAGTAAAACCAGAGGAGAGATCCCCTCAGTGAGGTTCCTTCAACACATTCTAAAGAATATTTTGACCTAAAAGGAAATACTAGGGTAAACATAATATAAGTAGAGAGTTTTGGTGCCAAAGCTTGAATATTGCAATCCTGGAGTATAAAGCTGCCCTGAATATACACTCCAGTTACAAGTATATTTGTAAAGGAAAAAGGAAGGCAGAGAGGGAACTGATAGAAAGTTGTCAGGAATTCTTATTGGCTTACAATAGTAACATTGGTTAGTGATTGGTTATATACATTTTTAAGCTATTGGGTGTGGGTTATGGTGTCCAGTGTGGCATTATTAGGTTAATTTATAGCCACTTGTGCCAACAGCAAGCAATTTCAAAAGACCAACAGTTCCAAGACGGGAACAGTAATATCACTGTGGTCTCATTTTAACAAGACTCTGGGTCTGATCATTAAAAGAACATGTATTTCTCAAATAAAAGTTCTTTTCTTCTCTCAAATCCCAGAAAATAAATTCAAAATTTGGAACTGCACATTTAGGTCTTGGAGGGCTGGTGAGCTATGCACATTTGTGGGCATTGGGCCAAGGGGAGGAGGGAGAGAATTGAAGTTCTCAGGTTTAATCAATGCATATGTATGATCCTGGTTGGGTTTATGGGCCCCATGATCTCTGAATCTGTGTCAGATCTGAAGATGACAGGAGCACTGAAGGAAGTGAAATAACTGATTGCTGTTCTGAAGTTATTTTTGTAGAAATCTAGTCTAACTGCTCTAGAAGGGACTGTAGATCCCAAATAGACTATTTTGTTTGCAGATTTGGGGAGCACCTTGCTGCACTTTGTTGTACAATTGTGGGTTGTGGCTGGAATCCTGAGAATGAAGGTTTTTCTCTCAAGTGAAGCCTGATAGGCACTTTGTATATAACATCTGGTACTTCTAAACAATGTATGGAAAATATGACTAAAAGAAAAATTTTCAGCCAGGCACGGTGGCTCACGCCTATAATCCCAACACTTCGGGAGGCCGAGGTGGGTGGATCATGAATTCAGAAGATGGAGACCATCCTCGCCAACATGGTGAAACCCCATCTCTACTAAAAATATAAAAAACTTAGCTGAGTGTGGTGGCGCGCCTGTAGTCCCAGCTACTCGGGAGGCTGAGGCAGGAGAATCACTTGAACCTGGGAGGTGGAGACCACAGTGAGCTGAGATCGCACTACTGCACTCCAGCCTGGCAACAGAGCAAGACTCCATCTTAAAAAAAAAAAAAAAAAAAAAAAGAGAGAGAGAAAAGAAAAATTATCTCCAATCCCCAAAAAATTTCCACCATAATAGAACAGCAAGAAAATGTTTTGTTATATAATTAAACCAAAATGTGATGTGCATCAAAGGCAATCTACTAAGAGACTACAAACACAGAAAAAAAGTCACCATTATTAGTTTTCAAGTGGAAGACTTGAAAGCACCATTTACAGTTTATTATTTCACCTAGTAATTTGGGAGGTAATCTGGGTTTTCTAATTGGTAATATTCAAAGGAAAAATAAACTTTCCACATCTTCATGACAGGATGTAGATTCGCAATGTGGAGCCAGTTACCTGCTGAAGGCAGCCTCCCACCCTCCTACAGAAACTGTGGTATATATTCTTGCTATTCACATTTCAAAGCAATAGTTTCCAGGTCCTAGATAAAGACAAGTCTGAGTCAAAAAAAGACAAATGACTTATTTAACTGATAAAAATGATTTACATATATTTCAAAAACCAGTGAAAATAATTATAAAAATGTTCCACCTAAATGCTTTAAGAAAAGGGAGAAGAACAAAAATTCTTCCCTCATTCAAAAGAGAAATCATTAAGCCTCTTCTTTCTAATTTCTATTTGTTCCTACAACAGCCAGGTGTAAAGGCATGGTCTTGAATTCCCTAACGTCTGAATTATTGTAGGCACGTAAGGGATGAAGTTGGGCACACTGTGTGCACAGAAGAGGATTTTTGGGGAAGGAAAAAGCAGAAGACAGAAAGGAGCTATCAAGAGCCATGGGGTAGGGACAGGGCACAACTGATGAAAGGACTGGTTTGTGCTACAGGTACAGGCTGAGGCAGGGCTATGCTCTGATTCCTGAGTCCATAAAGGCAGAGGAGATTAGGATCAGATGGTCCAGAAGCCTGGATTGGAGAAGGAAACAGATTCCTGCTACAGATCTGGGGTTGAGATGACCCAGGAGTCCTCTGGGCACTGCGTGTGTTTTTGACAGAAAACTATAGGAGCAAAGCTGCCATGGCCACAATTCCTGAGGGTAGAACCCTGTCCTAGGACGGGTGTGGCCGTGCGAATGCCCAGTGGGCGTGCTCAGGAGTGGGTTAGCATTGGGTGGGGGCTGGCAGCAGGGTGCAGGGAAGGGACGTTTCTCAGAACTCCTCCTTTCCTCTTTTTTTTTTTTTTTT